ATGACGAAATTGTCAGGTCTTGCTTGCTAGCTCAGATTCATGAAGAAAGTTGTGATTTTTTTTTTCTAGTTTAGTGTTTGAGGTTTAATTCTAAAAATTGATTCTAAAAACACAAAAATGATTGTTTCTTTTGCGTTTAGGTGACACACACACACACACACACACACACAACACACACACACACACACACACACACCACACACACACACACACACACACGGAGTATATTTATATATATATAAATAAATATATATAAGCATAGGTGATATAATATCTAAGATATAGATGGTATATATCTGGTTTGTTGTGTGTGTGAGTGTGTGTTGTGTGGTGAGTGTGTATATATATATGTGTGTATGTGTGTGTGTGTGATGTGTGTGTGTTGTGTGTGTGTGTGTGTGTGTGGTGATGTGTGTGTGTGTGTTGTGTTGTGTGTGGGTGTGTTAGTGTGTGTGGTGGTGTGTGTGTGTGTGTGTGGTATTGTTATGATATATATAAAGTATGGTACATGTAAGCGTGAGAGGTTAGTATATGTAGTTTTAAGGTGTATGTATGTATGTGGGGTATTTGGTAATGGTCAAATAGTGTAGCTCAGATATTGTTATGTTTATTGTATGGTATGTGTGGTCAGAATTTTAGAAGTGTATATTAATATAAATATAATAAGGTACAGAAGAATATTATACGTATATAATATATATATATATATATATATTGTGTGTGTGTGTGTGTGTGTGTGTATATAGTATATATATATGGAGTAGATTATAGTAATATAGTTTTTAATACATATAATAGTAATATTATATATATGTATATATATGCTAAGTATATCTGAATATATGTATTGATAGTATTACAGGAGTAAGTATAATGGAGTTACATATATTATATACATATATATATATGTTCTATATATATTTATTAGATGTAATATATATAGATGTCATATACATAGTTGTAATTTATACATTAATAGTGCAGAATACATATTATGGTAATACAAGTATATATATACATATTTATAGGTAGTACAATTATAGTAATATAACAATATAAAGTATAGCTAATAGATCATAGAATAGAATTAATATATGATATATAATATATATATATGCACTTACGGACGCATAACGATTTAATGTATGATATGTAGTTTACGATATATAATATATATAATATTATAGTATAATATAGTACTATATAATATAATATATACACAATAATATATAAATAAAGCATGAGAGATACTATGAAGTGTAGCTAGTGAGTAATGGATTTAGACTGATATACATATATATATATACATATAAGATATAACATATATCATATATCAAGGTATATATAAGTAATTACTTATATATATAGTGATATATATACACATAAGTGGGATATTAGAGGTATATACAATTTGGGCTGTAATAATATATATATATAAGGCAGTAATACTTGTGAGGTGTAGGTCAGTTTTGAATGGATGGGATACTGAAATATACAAGAACAACTTAGATAGTTAGTAGTATGATGAGTTAATATACGATCTTGGTGCATTGAAAAGGTACCACAGACGGATGAAAGTATATAGTTTGTGATACAGGTATAATTGTATAGGCTATATTGTAATTTTAAATGCAAGATACTATTTATGTAAATATACACACGAGCACGACACGACACATCAGACACACACACCAGGCATGCGACGAGCACACACACACACTTTCTGCAAACAACACCACAGCATCAAAACCACACTTTGGATATGGTGTATAGTATACTTGTAATAGATAAACCCATAGGCCTACTCATGAAATATACTATGACTACTAATAGTAAATTAATTCCTAAGTATATATCATCATTGCACCTCACACACACACACACACCACCCACACACACACCACGACTACGACACTACACACACACAACACACACACACACACACCACACACTACAACACACACACATCCACTACCTACATAGCACACAGTAACACACAGCATACACCACTACATTACCACATATTACTATGACACAACAACACACACAAAAACACGGCAAAAACCAAACCCAAACCCCAAAACCCCCCCCCCCACCCCCCCTAACCCACGCCAAACCGCGCGGGCGGCGGCTCCCCACACACCCACGTTCACTTTTATGGCACACACACCTAGACGAGCGACCCACATTCATAGCTTACCTTACTATATCCTTATCACTATTTCATGATATATTATATATATTCACTATTATATACCTTATATATATACTACTATATATTCCTACTTTCTATTATATATGCCTACTTCTCCATATCATACACCACACACCACAATACCTATATTTACCTTAGGTATATATCTTATTTATATATTATTACTATAGTATGTATATATATATGATCTTAACTATAATTACTACTTTATTATTCATGTCACATCACCACACACACCACACCCACAATCACATCACACCACACACACACTACACACACACCACACACACCACACACACACACACCTACACACACACACACACACACACTACACACACACATACCATATTTTATCACTATGTATTCTCTTTTTTATTAATTATATTATCTTTTTATTTGGTATATAGATGGAATATGAGGTAATATAGGTATTAGTAGTAGGTAGGGTGATATAAGTATGCATATATTATAATTATATCTTATTCTCTTATACTATATTCTTACTTATCATTTATATATAGAGAGAGAGAGGACTGAGACGAGAGAGAGATAGAGTGCAGTAGCCAGAGAGAGAGAGTTGAGAGAAGAGAGAGTGGAAATTGGAGCAGATAGCGTCATTGTTAATTGATACTCATCTCTTATAGAAGGAGTGCTGCATTGGTTAATGTCTCATCTATATATTTTGGTAACTCGGTAAAGATTGTATGCGTCAGTTTCGTTTATCTTAATATAATTGTTTATATTATTCGATCATACTATAATCTGATGGCAGTGTTGAATTCTCATATATGATGCTTCCTAATAACTCTCTCGATATCTCATAATATTATCAATTCTAAATAATCATAATTCAATGCTACTTCGCACTGATCGATCATGTCTGCATAACTCCCGTGTACACTCATATATTCTATTTCTAATAACTACACTAATTATCATTATACTATCTCTCTTAATACCTTGTATTTATTTGCATTTTTTCATTAATCAGCATGGCTTACATTGACTCATGGACAGCTTTAGTTTTACAATGCCATAATGTTATCTCATGATCTTCCTTTTTTCATGATTTATATTCATTAACCATAGTATATTGACTCAAGAGGATTTTAATTGTCATTTAATTAACCTACTGACTTTCAGTTCTCCCTAGATATTAATTATTTTCATCCGCACGAACATCAAATTTTCAACATAAGAGTACGATGAAAATTATGATCTGTTATACTATTTTTAATTAATGAGTAAACGTGTTTTTCAAATGATGCTACTGTATATAGACCACTCTGCTTAATTTAGGCCTGTTGATAGCGAGATTGGACTAGTTCTCTGTGGAAACGGTTGAGCATTTCTCATTTGTTGTTAGTTCATACACTGCAATTTTTGGAATCCGTAGTCACCGATGAATAAGTGTATGTTTAATACGCTCGGATTAATTTAAAAAATCTGTGGATTAAACTATTTCGCAAACAAGATTTATTCGCTCCGTTGTAGTATATTATTAATCATGTTTCTTTTCTCTTTCTCTTTTCTCTCTTTGTCCCTTGTTACTCGGTCTTAACTTTTGCGACGTAGGCAAAGTACACGAAAACGTGATGCAAGAAATCTCCTCCCGAACAGGAACAGAAAACGAAGCCCAGACTCACTTTTTTTTCTCTCCTCACCTCTATAAATTGTTGTTAAAACATCAATTACGCTGCGCCGTTTCTGCGGACGTTTCATTCGACGGGAACTGTTGTCTATCTCGTTTTTTTTCGGTGGATTCGTTTTCCGTGTTCTCTTTCTGTTTGTCTGTCTTTCTTCGTGCTTCTGTTGTCTGTTTTATCCGTTTTCTTGGTCTCTCTTTCCTTGTTTCATTTATCTATCTATCTATTATGTGTTGTGGTGTGTGTGTGTGTGTGCTTATACAGATCTATGATAAGATAGATTCTCCGATAGGATAAAGATATAGATCTAGACAGCTAATGACTTATAGGGTGGCACGTTTGGGCCGGCTATGAAGAACGTCGAGGATATAGAGAAATGAATACAAGAAGATAATTTAAGTAACTGATACACGTAAGGGGGATTTGTGTATAAGGTTAAAGAGGATGATCTTGATAATGAAGATTTTTGTGAGGTAGGGTGTTATCTGCGAAAGCACAGGAAGGGGATTATTTTCAGAGCTTTATCACCGTCCAGATTCATGGCCTTTGTGATCATGGTGCATCTACGTGATGTCCTCTCCGAGATTGCGTCTATTGAGATCGTAGGCCGGCTATTGGAGATTATCTTCTGCTTTTTTGTACTCTCGTATTGACATCAAAACCATAGTGCACGATCATACTTGCTCTAGTGTTGGTGGGAAAAGGGGGTGGGGTTATGCTTTCGACTCGTTTGTGCTTGTTGTGCGTGGAGTCGTTGTATGTGTCGTGTTGTGTTCCTGTGTGTGTGTGTGTGTTGTTGTGTCGTTAGTGTCCTGTGATGTGTCTTTGTGTCTGTGTCTCGTGTCTCGGTGTCCGGTTGAGAAGGTGGGAAATGCCTTCTGGTGCTTGTGTTTGAACATCCTGCTTCTCCCTTCTCATCATTAATTCCTTTTGTGTTTGCATGAGCCGTGTTTGTCCGTTTGCCATGTATGTTCCGTAGTCGTGTGTGTCGTATGTGTGGTCTTTTCTTGTCTGTGTTTTGTGCTTTAT